GAATCTGCCCAGTGCAAACCTGTGCTGTCCATGATCAACTCCATTTCTGGTACTAAGACCAGGGAGAACCTTGACTTCTGAGTCCCCAAAAGAAAGAGTAAAATGCTAAGGACGACAGAGCTGTGCTGAGGCTCCTCCGACCCACTGCTGGACACTTGCCCAGCACACTGGGCAGCAGCAAGGTGGCTGCTGTCCTCACCAGTCCTGGGCCTGGAGGAGGCCCTGTGATGACCAGAGCACACCATGAGACTGACAGTCCCCAGCATGCATGTCTACGCTGGGGCTCCTCTCATGGAAAAGCCCTTCAGCAGGACTTCTAGATCAACCCCAGGGTAGAACTAGGTGGGGATAACATGGGGCCAGATAGGGCAGAGTCAGGAGCTTGCTTGCCACAGGAAAACCCACCTCCTCAGAGACGTGCCTCTGTGTGTCAGTGCTGGCAGCCCCCAGTCACCTGCTCAGACAGCAAGCACCAGGTGGGGGCGGGGAGACCTGAACAGAGAGTGCTAAGTTCTCAGAGCCGTGTACTCTCAAAGCAGCAGCTCCAGGGCACAGTCTCCTCTTTGTCCCTCAACATGCAAGCCTCCCAAACAAACCCCTTCGGTTTTTACCAAGAAGCAGGCACAGATTAAAATCAATGCAGGAGCCTGGCGGTGCTGGCACACACCTTTAATCCTGGCACTCGAGAGACAGAGCAGGCAGATCTCTGAGTTCAAGGCCAGCCTGGTCTACAGTGAGTTCCAGGACAGCCAGAGCTACATGGAGAAACCCTGTCTCAAAAAAAAAAAAAAAAAAAAAGCAGTGCAGGTGAAACTTACAATTTCTCAGCTTCCAGACACAACAACTTGAGAGCTGTGAGTAACCTCCAAGAAGGTCCATCCCATCCGAATGTCAAATTTCTACGAGAGAAAGGCAGGCAGCACTAGATCTGTCACTCAGACGAACACCAAAGGAGTTCAGCCATGGCTGCAAATGGGCACACTCGTTAGGTCACCCCACACAAGGTCAGACGGTGTGAGGCAGTGAGGTGTGGATACTGTGAAGGAGGCTGGGTACAGAACAGCCTGTGCTTCATTCCACACAAGTGGAGTTTGTGTTCTGATCATTCCGGGTCATGCTGGGTAGTTCTGTCAACCTGACCCAAGCCAGAGTCGGTGGAGAGGAGGGGGCTACGACTGAGAGAATTCCTCAGTGAGATCAGGCTGCAGGCAAGCCTACAGGACTCTTCATTAGTGATTGGTGGGGGAGGGCCCAGCCCATTGTGGGTGGTGCCATCCCTGGGCTGGTGGTCCTGGGTTCTATAAGAAAGCAGGCTGAGCAAGCCAGTCAGCAGCACCCCTCCATGGCCTCTGCACCAGCTCCTCCTCCAGGTTCCTTCCTGTTTCCAGAGTTCCTGCCCTGACTTCCTTCAGTGATGTGGAAGTGTAGACCAAATAAACCCTTCCCTCCCCAGCTTGCTTTTGGCCATGGTGTTTTATCACAGCAACAGTAACCCTAAGACAGGGGTGAAAAGCCATTTTCCAATCAGTTTTAGTAAGACATTGAACTTGGTTTAGGGGAGCACAGCAAGAGGCCTGGTAGGTAACTACGCCACATAGTTTACAGTGAGATGAACAGGGGAGGCCTTAGGTCATCCTGGAGAGCAAACACACACAGCTACCCCAGCCGGCAGCCTCACACTGTGGCTACACATGAAAACCCTGATTTATACCGAAGAGAAGATGTCTTGTCTCTCACTGCCCCCGATCTGTACTGATGCCAGCCATGGGTTCTGCTGGGGGTCAGCCTGGCTTGTGATAACCCAGGGCTATCCCACCTGAACCTGACCACATAACGACAGGCACAGGACCGTGCCAAGCGTGGCTCTCACATTCCCAAGCAGCTGTCTTCCGCTCCCTGAGTGTCCACAGCACGGAGCACAGCTGTACTACACAGGAAGACTTAATAGACCCCACCTGTCCGCGAACACAGAAGCACAAACCAGAACCCTCACGATTTTCAGGGGAACGTCCTGAAGGGATTGTTTCCGGGTAGAAGGACACTCACTCTGTAAAGCCATGATCCTTCAGAATGGACATCTTCTTGTGCACCTGCTTATCCGCAAGTGGGAGGTACTTCACCAGCATCTCTAAGTGAAAGAGACAATCGATGCCAGAGTAGGATACACTTCAGACAAAGTACATGCCCCTCTCCTCCAGCCCATGTTCCCTCCATTACCACCCTGTACAACCAAGAGTGCCTCCTAGTTCACACTAAGTGTTCTCCTCAGGGCAACGCGCAGAAATCTTGGTCCCCGGAAGGCTGTTCCGGTTTCCGGGGCTGAGGACAGACTAGGGAGAAGCAAGGTTCACATCCCCACTAGTTCATCCACAGTGTAACAGGCAAAGACCCTAGAGCCACGGCCAGGAACAGGCTGCCTGAGAATGCAGGGAGGAAGGACGGGAATACTGTCCACGAGCCAGATGCACAGCAGTCCACGCATCCGCGACTCTAGCCACAGAGGGAATTTGTGAAAACTGACAAATGTTTTCGAAGGAGAAGGAAAGCAAAGGATTTCTGTTTTGTTTCTGAGGTGATGCTAGGCTTCAGTTCTGCATTTTATAAAAATGGATTTGGGGTATAATTCTGACAAAAGCAAGCCCTCCCTTCCCTTCGGTGAAGGCCTTGCATATACCAGGCCGCTGTCCTGCCACTGAGCGGATCCTCAGGCCCTACTCCGTTTTTAAATGTACAAATAACTGAACGTAGTCGTCCAATGGGCTTACTTGGCAACCACGGTTAGACCCACCGGATGGTATCTGCAAGGACTCTGACTGAGTCAATCTCAAAGCTGCTCTAACTCACTTCACACGCCCCTGCTCTCATTTTTCTTTAAATTATTACATGTATTTATTTTAGGTGGTGTGTGTGTGTGTGTGTGTGTGTGTGTGTGTGTGTGTGTGTGTGTGTGGTGTGAAGGTCAGAGGACAATTTGCAGAAGTCAGTTCTCTCCTCCACCCTGTGGGTCCTGAGGATTGAACTCAAGTCATCGGGCTTTGTGGCAAGGCCCTTTACCCACTGACCCATCATCTCTGGCCCAGTTCTGGCTCTTCTCTCTTTGATCTAAGAAACATAATTGTTGTTCCGCCCACCGGGTTCATCCAAGCCTACACGTAAATACCTCGAATATACGCTGGGAAATCTCCGGCCACTTGCCCGTGGCTTAGAGCTGCTTCTGCTAAGTGCTTACTAAGTTCTGCTCAGTACAAAGACCCGCCCCCCCAGCGCGACTGTCACTCATTTCCCACTGGCTCCCCCCCCCTCACTCGACCCTCTCAGCTCATCCCGCCCTCAGTATCCGTCAGTTCTGCAGGTTTGACTGCAACCCAGAGATTCCGATCAGCGAAGGCCAGGCTAGCGCTGCCCGAGACAAGTGAGCGGTGCGTGTAGGGCCTCTCTCTCTCTACCACGGGACAGCACTGCCTGAGGGAGCGACACCAACCTCCTGGGACAGGAACACAGGCGTGAGGATTGCAGAAGGGGACGAAGCCGTACTCCAGGAGCAGCCGCTGGTTATCATGGGGGCCGTAGCAGATGAACACTTCCTGGTGCTTCCTGCAGCCGGAGGCCGTTCTAATCTCATAGCAGCCGGTTTTCTCGTTGAACGCTGCTTTTACCTACAGGGGAAAGGTAGAAGATTTCTCTTTTCAGAATAAATCTAAAAGGCTCACCAAGTTATCACATCAGTTGTTGGACGCCAAAGTCAGTCACAGGTGGCGAATGGTCCTCCTTCATCTCACCTTTACCTGTTGGTGAGGGAGGAGGTCCAACCACGGACTCTGAAAATGACCCAAAATATGACATCTGAGTCTGGTCAGGACTGGATCTGTCACAAACAGCACAAGGGAAGAAAATATGGTGGCGCTGAGACCCATTGGTACTAAGAAGCTGCAAAGGCTTCCCCAACTCCCAAGTTCATTTGTTTATAGTCCCTGAGCCTATAGAGGTCTTCTGTAGCTGGGCCCTCAGGCTCCCACAGCTGTGGCTGTGTTCTCCTAGGCTAGTCTATAAAATCGCTAAAGAACAGAATCCGCAAACACTCCAATGAAACCAAAGTGAGGCTGCTGGGGACTGAGAACCTGTGCCCAACATCCTGTGACCTTTCACCTAGCACTGCACTCACACACTGGAGACTGTGCTATGACCTTTCACCTAGCACTGCACTCACACTGGAGACTGTGCTATGACCTTTCACCTAGCACTGCACTCACACACTGGAGACTGTGCTATGACCTTTCGCCTAGCACTGCACTCACACACTGGAGACTGTGCTATGACCTTTCACCTAGCACGTTTGCCTGGAGCAGATTACACCTCCACTGTCTCATTCTTCATTCAGAATCCTTGTTTCCACATGTTGCAATTCCATACCAACAGGACACATGTCCATGCCAGCTTCTCACCTGGACGTGTGGGCTGTGATTCAGCAGATCCAGGTACGGAGCAAGGGCACACGTGTCTGCCTCTGCGGAAAGGCATTCCTTCCTCCTGGACCTCAGGTACACAGCTCTGGTGTTCACGGTGCACCAGGCCCACAGGAAGGCGCTGTAGCTGAAAACGTTCTCCACAGACTCTGCAAACAGAGGCTGCAGGGTGGAGAAGAAGGCTCTGGAGGAGGCAAACAAGTCCTGCACGTGGGCTCTCTGCTCCTCTGCCTTCGCCTTTAAAAGTCCGGGCAGAAGATCTACCACTTCCGGCTCCAAGCAGACCGGGCAGGTGTACGACTTGGGTAAAATGTCCAGGTAGGACTTCCAGAGGGACTGACCGCCTGCATGCTTCTCTGAGACGAGAAAAGTGCACAGGGCCAGCAGAGGAGATGGAGGAGGCTTCCACCTGGTACATGAAAAGACAAATTGAAGAAATTAAAGTGTAGACTCAGCCAAACCGTTTGGTTTGCCTCAGAGGGACTGTGCTCAAGCTGTCGACACTCCGCCCAAGACAGAGGCGTCTTTCCTACGGCTGAGCCTCTCCAGAGCACGCCCAGCATGGTCTATGTTCTCTCTCCCACCAAAGCCATTTCCATGGCTAGTAGGTAAAGTTTGCTTTGCAACAACAACAACAAAAAAAAAATCTTGTTTCCAGCCTGGTTCTCCCGTTGAAGCTCTTCTTTCTCCCTCCGCTCACCTTGTTTTCTGAGACAGGGTTTCTCTGTGTAGCAGCCCTGGCTGTCCTGGAACTCTGTAGACCAGGCTGGCCTCAAACTCAGAGATCTGCTAGGATTAAAGGCGTGTGCCACCACCACCCAGCTAAACGCTTTTTCTATAAGCTCCTGGATTTCATCTTGTAAAGTTGAACTACGAGAAGTCCAGAGGGGTAGAAAGATTCAGAGATGCAACATCCAACCCAGTGAACTATGGCTCACAGAACTATTTCAGTTTAAATTAGTTACAGTTAAGCAGCGCTTAAGAGTCATTCTCTAGTAAAAACAAGTCACATTCCAGTTACTCAATGGGCATTTGTGATTCACGTCTTGGATAATGCGAAACAAAGCATCTCCACCATTGCTGGAAGTTCTACCGGATCATGCCTACTGAGACAGGCACTGTGGCTGCTCATTATACACTGATGGAACCTTGCAGCTTTTGTTCTTAAACTTCTCGGTTCTACCACAAGTTACACAGTTGCATTCCGAATAGTTACTCACATATCAGCCCCTCCGGTATAAACAGACTTAGCAATGTTATCGTCATCTTTGAAATTCAAATTCCCATGGTACCACGCATTCTACTTGCAATTTCTGAATGATAAATTTATTTCAGAATATAAATATAAATATAAATATATTTCAGAAAATAAAGATTCAGAGCATCCTTGCCTCTACACAGGCCCATAAAGAATGTGTGTATGTGGAGGTTAAGGGAGTGCTTGGGTTATGAAAAAACACAATCTTTGATTGAACCCTCAAAATGTAGAAATCACTTCTGCCGAGACTCTCACTCACTGCCCTCAGGATGCTCCAGAACCAAGGCTCTCCATCGTGTGTGCAGAACAATGTAGATGTAACCAACCGTCTTATTAAATAAGAAACACAGAAACAATGTAAAAGAGAAAGCCGAGAGGTCAGAGCTCAGAGCTAAAATCTCACCCTTCCTCCTGCTGTCCCAGCTTCGCGAAAAGAGATCTACCTCCTGTCGGTTCGTATTTTTAAAGTATGTTGT